TCTGTTTTCTATCGACTTTCCTGACCAGGGTAGGGTAATACAATTCTAGTCCCGGTGTCTGTTTTCTATCGACTTTCCTGACCAGGGTAGGGTAATGCAATTCTAGTCCCGGTGTCTGTTTTCTATCGACTTTCCTGACCAGGGTAGGGTAATGCAATTCTAGTCCCGGTGTCTGTTTTCTATCGACTTTCCTGACCAGGGTAGGGTAATACAATTATTGTTCAATTTCAAAAAACCCTATAGTGAACGCAGATAAGTGTTTCAAGTGGGAAAATTATTTAATTCATTGCGGCAGTAATGTTTGTGCAACAACTAAAAAGGTTGAACTGGTTGATATTCATTTTTGTAAACTTTTTGATACTGTTCGTTGGTCTTCATATATTTCGGCTTGCGTGACATTCGATAAACGTTACATGTAATAGTTAACGACGAAGAGTCTAGACATTCCAGTTGCTCTCAAAACCACTGACCAGAAGCAACGCAGGCCTAACTACACGCCCATATATGAAATAAGGAAATGGATTCTCTGAAGGAATTCCTTCTCCCCAAACGATTCAGCGTGTATGGATACATCGTTGCTGTATTCAATGTATTGGCTGGAGTCATTGCTACCGTTATAACGGCTATTAAATCGACTGAAAGACGACAATTTCAATGCAACAGCCGTGGTGTTCTCGACGACAAGGACTTCTTGACTACGAAGTGTTTTAATCAGTATAGCCAAGAATATAATGGTTCTCTACCGCTGTATGGATTTGCATTGATGAGCTTTGCTAGTTTAGTTGTTGTTTGTATTATTTATTCTTGGTGTTGTGTGAAATCTCGAGTGGAACAAATCGAGCAAGAATGCACARCAAATCAAAACAACCTTCRACCTACTCCAATCAATTGTCATTATATTTTCACGTGTTATTTGGTWAATTTACTRATACGTCTTGTCTTGGGCATTGTCTATGCAATACCACAATTAACTGGACTTTATGCCTTGGATTTCCCACCGAAATTTAASTGCAACTGGAATTTAARACGACCAAACAGTGGAAACTTTAATACGACAAATTCTAATTCATCGTCAGTAATTACCATAAACTGTCAGAACTCTTTTGCAGAAGAAAAAACTGTTTGGGCCATGGTAGTATGGATTCTTCATGTACTCTTTGCTTGTCTTGTGCTRTTCGAAGTACTTTATATTCTGGCAAGAGCCTTCCATGACGATACCTTYACTAGAGACTTGAAGTTTTGCCAAAAACATATTTTTAACAATCGAATAATTTCTTTATCRCAAAGGGACTTCAGTTTGTTAWGGTCTCCAATATTGCAGCAGACAGAGTATCTTGAACCACTAATACCCTTAGTTCCATCTGAAGATGACAATCGTAGAGCAATAGACGAYGTTTATGTTGATCTWGTTATACATTCTGGTTGGGTCACGCATGACTTCGACAAGACTAAGAAGAGACATGAACTCTTAAATGTCTATCTCAAACMACCTAAAGGTTCGCTACAAATAAACAACATAAATGAACTTTTCGTTTCAGAACAAAAATCTTATCACAACATCCTTGTCATCGGTCGTCCAGGAATTGGAAAGACATCTYTGTGCACTAAAATMATCCGTAATTGGTGCAAGGRYGWATTGAATCKATTYAARATTGTGTTTCTTTTTAGATTTCGACATTTAAGYGGKGAAAGRTTCAACAGAATGTCCCTCATGCAATTTCTCCATGAAACGGAACACACCATGAATATAGACCCAGATACTTTACAAAATGTTATGGACAATCCTCAATCGATTTTGTTTATCTTTGATGGCTTAGATGAATATAAGCATCGTGAAAACCTTATTAAAGACCAGTCAGAATTCAACAGTTTGAATGGATTGAAAGATGAAATGCCCGTAACTTCTATTTATGCAAAACTTTTACAGAAGAAACTACTACCTGGGGCCACAATTCTGACAACTTCAAGGCCAAATGCTGTAGGCACTCTGAGAATCTTAAATGTACAATTTGACAGAGTTGCTGAAATTTTGGGTTTTACTCCAGAAAAAGTCAAGTCATACATTGACAAGTTTTGTAAAGATAATGCAACCACAGCAAGCAAGATTTGGCTGCACATAAAAAGCAATTTCAACCTATTGTATCTGTGTTACATTCCAGTAAATTGCTGGATAGTCTGTTCCTTGTTATATGATTTCATCGAAAAACATAGTAGTAGTTTGGATAGCTTAGTGCTACCCACCACTCTAACTGACATTTACAAAGGAGCATTGCGGCTGTTTTTGTTCAAGCACAGTCCAGAATATCAACAACAAATGTCTATCAGTGACTATACTAACGATACATTTTCAACCACAATTGAGGAAGTACTCTCCAAACTAGGAAAGCTCGCAATAAAAGGAATGGAAAATGAACAACTGGTTTTTGAAGAAGTAGAGGTTCAAGGATTGGAAAACTGTGGTTTACTCAACTGCATGCCCAGTAAAACAAATCCTGCATTAGGATTTGCTAGGGCATCGCAGTATTGTTTTATTCATTTGACTCTTCAAGAGTTTCTTGCTGCCAGAGAAATTGCAAAGACATATGACCTCAATGAAGTTGTTCAGTTTATCAATGATAAAGCAACCAATGCTAAATGGCATCTTGTAATACAATTTGTAGCAGGACTATTGATAAAACACACTTTTGAAGCTTCAATGTGCTTTGAGGACATGCTTTGCCACTCATTAATTCAAGGAAATAATAAGTTACTTTTACTTATTCTCAAATGCTTTTACGAGCTGAGCAATGAAGAAGCTGCTGAGAGAGCTGCGAGAAAACTGGAATCTTGTAAGGAATTCAGTGGTTCCATAACTTTCTTTGACGTTGCAATTCCCGATTGTACAGCTATTGTTTTTGTTTTAAGGCACTGCATGACTCGACTGGTCTCACTTTCAATTTGTGACAGTTTGAATTTTGGTGATTATGGTTGCTCAGAACTTCTGAAGATTTTCGTCTGTAAAGTAAGTGATAGCCACAAACATGAAAGCTCTCATCTTACAGTGTTGAACTTGTTATATAATAATATAACTGATCAAGGTGTATTACACCTGAGTGATTCACTCAAAAGTGAAAACTGTCATCTCACACAGTTGAGCTTGCTGAGTAATAAAATAACTGATCAAGGTGTATTACACCTGAGTGATGCACTCAAAAGTGAAAACTGTCATCTCACCCAGTTGAACTTGTCCACGAATCAAATAACTGATCAAGGCGTATTACACCTGAGTGATGCACTCAAAAGTGAAAACTGTCATCTCACCCAGTTGAACTTGTCCACGAATCAAATAACTGATCAAGGTGTATTACACCTGAGTGATACACTCAAAAGTGAAAACTGTCATCTCAACCAGTTAAAATTGTACTCTTATGGGATAACTGATCAAGGTTGATTACACCTGAGACCGCTTTTCGAACAAAATATGGACGTTGAATGAAATATTTGTTGCATAGCCTAGTGTGACTAGGGTGTTTACCATTTACACAAAGTTTCCGGAAATTTCCGGATCAATGATCACAAGTTTCGGGTCAGTGACGTATAAGACCTTTCCAAATATGGCTTGCAATCGGATTAGGGTTTTATAATAATTGGCGCATTTTCATGCAGCTCAAAAGACGTGAATAAAACGAAATGGAGGTTAACTTTAGGATGACAAGAACAAGTTGCTAGCACAAAACATCGCCCAAACAGGCAAAATACCCACAGCTAATAGGTTTGGAAAAGCACCAATACCTGGAAAAACAAGTCCTAATTTTTCTCTGGTTTCTGGCCAACAACGAAACTTTTCCGTCACTACTTGATTTCAAATGAACACTCCATTTCCGAAAACAAAGACCCTTGCAGTAAATAAAAGGAAGCACGAGAAAATGTCGTTATTACAATAATCTTGGAAATCTGCATTTTCGCCGAATTGAGACTAACTCTGTATTAACACGAGCTGAGGTTTAAGCCTTCTGGGAATACAGTGTTAGCCTCAACTTGGTGAAATGGTTTTGGAATGTTATGTTGAATATCCTTGCAAAGAATTTAAAAATATGTGTAATGACTTTGTTGTCTTTCTGTTAATACAACGTTAATGGAATATAAGCAAAATCAAATAATAAAAAAATGAATAATTAAATAAAAAAATAGATAAATAAGTAAACAGATAAATTAATTAATTAATTAATCTATTAATTAATTAATTTATCTCTTAATTAATTACTTTATAGATGAATAAATGTTTTAGGTCCAGATACTTGGAATCAGTGTGGCTACTGTTATCAGATTAGTTGCGGATCCAGGGGGGGTTCCATAGGTTATAATAAAATAATAATAAAATAAATGACAAATAAATAAATAAAAAACTTGTACTATTTAGGAATTAATATTAAAGTACAAAAGAAAGTGTTCGGCTTCAGTGGTCATGTTTTGTCTTTTCATGTATTCCTAATTTCCTAAATCCCTAAATCTCAGGACGTTTTATCAGAGCACTTTGTTTGATGGAGTTTTCGCGAAGTTATAGGGGAATTTAAAGTTTGGAAGTGCCTTAGAAAAACATTTCTCATTCAGTCATTTGTATACTATGCCGAGAAAAATCCAAAACCACAGACAGATCAGTTTGAAATGGTAGCAGTAGAAAGGATTTTGCCGTTTTTCAAGAATCTGTTAAGAACTAAAGCGATGTTTTAATTCGATCCCAGTTTTGAAGATTACAACCTTCGTTTCATTGATACAAACTTCAAAACATACTTGAATTCTAATTTCGAATAATTAACTGAATCTTCCAACCTTGATAGGAATGCATGAGATGTTTTGACTGGGATTGACGGAAGCAAAAACATCAAAAACCAGTTGAGTATTTGGATGTCTGATGATTGTGAACTATTGCAGTAAATTAATGGCAGTAAAAGAAAGAAACAATTTCACAACAGTGAAGCTTTTGTGTTCGCAGAATTTTAGGAATTGCTGTAAATCGGAGCTCTCTCCACGTCGGCTGGACCTCGATTGAATAAATTTAGATTTTTACCCAATCAGAGATCATGTAGCACTGAAATAGTGTGTGACCCCCAACACCCTCCCCCAAAGTATCTTATATGGTTAGGTTCAGTAGTTCTACACTTCCGGTATAGAACACGTCGTCTTCGCCTTCTTGATTACAGAGTGCGAAATTGCTCTCCGTTTTTTCGATCCCAAAGAATTTCGTTGGGTATAAAACAATGCTCCGTTATTGCCTTTTGGTTTTATTAACTGTTGTTATCTCGTTAACCAGAAAAAGACTTGCTGTGGCTGAGTGTAATTCGCACTTGGATTGTAGCAAACAAAGTAAAGACTTGCCATACTGTTGCAAGACTTCCTTTCATTCATGGGCCCCGCATGAATGTTTTTCGAACTGTGCCGGGAAAGCTTGTGATTCAGACAGCAATTGTGGAGGAACAGGCGGTGAATGCTGTAATACAGTCCACGGCAATTGTACTACAAAGAAAAGTTGCTTGAAGAAGTGCTATTCAAACTCAGATTGCAAGAAAGGCTCGACATATTGCTGCCAAGGAGTTTACTTCGTACCAAGCGTGTGTGCTTCGAGCTGCGTTGGCAGATCGTGTAGCGTTAACAGTGATTGTGGTGCGCCAAACGAATGCTGTAGAGGTGGCAAATGTACAAAAGTTTGCAGTCTTTTACCTGGTTGGCTCATTGCTGTTTTTGCTATCGTCGGTGTTCTTATTGTCGTTGGTTTTGTCATCATCATCTATTGCTGGTGTTTCGCACGATCGTCATCTTTGCCTACGAGGAATGTGAGGAATGGGTTTAAGCGCTTTAAAGGCTCACTTTATGGTTAAGATTATAGGCAAACTAAGACTAGAACTGTTCTGCTAACGGTACTTGCTGCTAACTTTTTTAAATTGAGACAAACACTGCATTTGAAGCATATTTTATAGTACAGGCAGTAAATATAACCGCACTTTGGAAACTTGAATTTATGTTGGATTTCAATTTCAATTTTAATATATTATAACGTGTTACACAAACTACTAACTTGCAAATCATAGAGCAAAGCTATAATGCACCTATCAATGATTTGCCCCAGCATATCAAATTCCCTTGGGGACTACCAACCCCACCCCCTCCCCTATCCTGGGAGAAGCCATTGATAGTTGCATTAAAAAAAAAACTAGACCCTGACAGCAGGGTGTACTCGTGCCCTAAAGGTGTTGAAAAGTGTTGTCCTATTCATTACTTTTTCAAAATGAGCTCATTTAAAACTTTTCTTGTGTTTGACCAACCATGTAATATACATAAAAAGCTGAAACTGAAACAGCTGAAAGAGCTGAAAGAGCTGAAAGAGCTGAAATTCCAGAAATTAAGATACTGATAAATATTTCTTGTTTCAAATTACAAAACAAAACTCATAACAAAAAAGCGAGCTTTGTCGTATCCTTTATAGTACAGCTAAAACTATGGATTGCTCAGTAGAATTTATTTCTTCCATGTGTTACTTTGTCATTAAAATGTCTTGAACGAATTTAATGCGTAGTTAAATGACGCTTTTGTTACGCAAACACTTTTTCACCTTCTACCAAGAACAACAACCTAATCAATTACGGCGTCTTTCGTGACGAGTGCGGCTAGAGATTGTTTTGAACCGAAGAACTAACCGACGAGAGGGCAATTGCTTGGTTCGATTTGAAAGTAAAAGAGAGAAAGAACTCGACGTGTATGTGGTCAGAACATGTCAGAACGGAACAGCGTGACTAAGCTAGAGACAGGAATAGGAACCCGGTGCATGACCAGCGAGTGTAAACCGATACTCGCGTGACGGAAGTCCCTGAAACACGAAATATATAACCAGTATACAATCCGCCAACTTTGACCATGGTTTGGTTGATGACGAGAAAACAACAACAACAAAAAAAAACAGACCAAAAAAAATAGCATCCTAGCAAAAAATAACAACAATACATTGTCCATTTTTAATAATAATCAACTTTAAAACTATTGTACAATATTGACTTGCGTATATGCGTCATTTGTCAAAGATTTACTTTTCTGACATATGGTGACACAAAAACTGGAACGTGTGACAGCGTTATCTTTGTAGGAAAACTTTTTAAACTTGTAATTCGAAACAAATCGCTAAAATTTATTATCTTAATTTCTGGAATTTCTGGAATTTCAGCTCTTTCAGCTCTTTCAGCTCTTTCAGCTTTCAGCTCTTTCAGTTTCAGCTTTTTATCGATACCCGTAATATACTGTCTTTCTCAATTTTCAAAAATAGTTCGACCGAGTTGACGCTTTAAGGAGGGTCTGGTTTAGATGTAAAGAATAGTGCTACCAAAGGCATGCAGTTCATCTATACTGATAAATCATAAAGTGATTTGAAATCAAACTATTAAGAGAAAACATTTGTGAAAGTAACTCCTTGTTGATTTACTTTTCATGTAATATTTAGCAGCTTTTGAAGGTACTAGATATACAATAATTTTTGACAAATCTTTAAAAGCGTAGTAGAATCAAATCGTTCACTCTGATAGTCTTTCGCGTGAAACATAGTAAGAATATTGTAGTAATTACTCGGGGTTCCTGTGGAACCCAGAGTTTAAATTTCGAGCTTCTTATTTTTTTTTTCTTTTTTTTCGTCGCTTATCAGTCACAAATTGTCCACAGGTAGCCCAAGCTCATAATCACGTGTTATTCTAAAATGCTATTTCGAGACCAAATTAGCGAGATATTATTATTGTCCTCGATAGAACATCTAAATGAAAGTATTATTGCGAAATTTTGAGCCAAAATAATGCTTTTTAACAGAAATACGAGCAAACGAAAATTGGTAAGAATCACGGCTCAATGCGTTTTAGACAGGTCAAGAAATAACTACAAAAGGCTGTGTTTTAAGATCTAAATGAATTTTTCATGGCCAAAAACAGCATATAATTCCCAACAATTATGCAAAGTTTGAAGTCAAACTGCGATTTTTTAGCAAAAATATAAGCGTTTGAATATGGTCTTACTTTACAAGGGAATGTATGGGGTACTATGCATACACAACCACGCGGACACGTAACTCCGAGTGTCGAAATAAGCTCAAAAGTAATGATTTTGCTTAAGTTTTCTAACAATATCATTCTAAAAAATTAATTTAATGCTGAGACTATAGTTGTTTTAAGATTTATAGGCTTTCCGAGGTTAATTTGGCGTGTTTCAAGTAGCTTGACAGTATTGCGTG